CACCCCGGGGGGCTCACCGGCAGCTGTTCTCCCCATCCGTGTGCAGCGACGTCTCTGCCCGTCGGAGGCCCAGGCGGGCAAAGGAGTGGTACAGGGTGAGCGTCACGTCGCTCAGGCTGTGGATGCCGTCGGGCTCATCATAGACGTTCTCCCAGTAGGAGCGGAGGCCCGGGGTGCCTGCGGGGTAGTTCCCGTACAGGTAATAGTCCAGCTGCCCGATGATCTCCTGATTCACCACGGCTTCGAACTTGCGGGCAAAGAAGGTGGGCCGGGCTGTCTGCTGTGCTCGTGGGGGATTAAAAAAAAAAGCTGCATTAGCAAGTGGCGGAAGGACCGTAACAGCATATCCTGTGGTCAGGGACAATGCTGTGCAGCCAGCCTGCCTGGATCCAAGTTCCAGGTCTGACACTTTAGTGACCTTTGTGCTCTTGATTTCCTCATCTGTAGAATGGGTTATAATGAGCGTGTGAAGAGGCCTGAACGAGTTAATCTCCACAAAGCATTTTAGGCAATGATAGGCACTTAGCAAGCATCATTTAGATGTCTGTTAAGTAAATTAAATCCTGGGATGGATCACGGAAATCATTTAGCTGGAGGTCACAGACTAGTAATCTAGGGCAAAGACAACCTGCAGATGTATTTTAGCTGGCCAGCAGAGTGTTTTAAAATTGAACTATCTGGTGACATTTAAAAAATGAAAGCATTCATAGAAACTCTTCTGGCTTCTCTTTAAATAGCAACAGATCTGGCAACCTCTGGCTCACATCCCTACATGGTAACAACCGGTCGAAGCCGAATAGTGGCCGACCCTTTAGACAAGACATGGGCTCTTCGGCTCACCACAGTCCCCACCCCTCCCAGTTGCCTCCCTGCCATTGCAGCCGACTTGCAGACTCGCAAGGGACCAGAATCTCTGGGAGTGGGCTTAGAAATTTGTATTTTTAACAGGTCTCCAGGTGATTCATTTGCTCACTTAGATTTGAGGACAATGCAAGTAACTCCAGAGCTGGATGCATATCAGTCACCTGGATAGCTTTGAAAAATCTGGATTCTAAGGTCCTTCCTGAGATCTACTGAGTCAGCATCTCTGGAGGTGAGGCTCAGGAATATGTATCCAAAAATAAACTTTCCCAAGTGATTATAATGCAGTATTTGGGGACCACTGATATAAACCAAGCTCTTATGGAAACAGGCCCAGAGAGGGGAAGGGACTTATCCAAGGACACACAGCAAGTCAGTGGCAGAGCTGGGGTTAAGAGTCAGGGTCCAGGGTTAAAGAAATAAAATACTGAGCATCTGTTACCTACCAGGTTTTATACTGTGGTGTAGGGCAGGGATTGACAAACATTTAAATAAATTGTCAGATTTGATCCAGAAATCCCATTACTGGGCATCTACCCAAAGGAATAACAGACATTCTATAAAAAAGACATCTGCACTCGAATGTTTCTAGCAGCACAATTCACAATTGCAAAGATGTGCAAACAACCCAAGTGCCCATCGATACATGAGTGGATTAACAAAATGTGGTATATGT